GCTAACGCCGGATAATCTTTTAGCTCTTTAAGCTGCTGATATAATGGCGTATGTAATTTTACACGACTAATACCTTTTACGCCTACCCGCACCATGGCATCTAACAAAAAACAGATTGTTTGTAGTAGTTCGCTAAGTTGGGCCTCATCTTGCCTATGTTGTTTTTTCCGATAATTAAACTGTGCATATTTTGAATTACTTGAGCTAAGCAAAAAAAATGTTTGGAATGTTGTAGTGTTGATTTTTTGATTTCATCAATGCTTAGCTCTAATAAATCTTTATAAATGTCTTCATCCGGGATGGATGCCAAGACGACAACTTCATTGATTATCTCTTTGATTTTGGGATTCCTATGAGCAAACAAAGCAATGATCTCTTGAGCTAATTTTCTTAGCCATGAATCTTGTTCCTGGATTCAGTTGCTAGATTGCAAATAATAAGCCAAATCATAAGTGCTGTGAATGTCATCTGTCTCTGAATGTGTCTCAGATGTCACCGGTTGACCCTGAGTAAAAAACTTTGTCTCTATGAAAGAGGTTGATGATACACTTGGACCGGTGGAAGAATTTTCTGTTTGAAAGGGATTCTTTAATGTTTCAGGTTCGGTCAATGCTTTGCGATACTTCAGTCCATACTTTTCGGCTTCTTTATAGTAAGCATCTGAATTATTCATTTCTCCTAATCTTCTATAGACCTTACTACATTCTAAATAAGCTTCGACCAAGTTTCCTTTTACGTCATGAAATAGCGAGGATCATTGAGCCTTAAATTCATCAATCGCTTTTTGATAAGCGTCTAGCGCATCCTCATCGGATACTTGTTTTCTAGCATTTTTTAAGTGAGTTTTACCCTTTTTGTAATGCCTGTTGAACATATTTTATTTGAAATTTTTAGTATTTGAGGAAAAGATTGTTGATCCGATGCGCGTAATTATGTATACAAAAAGGTATTATAAAATGCAGGATTTTACAGTATTACAATACATACAAGACGACAGTGTATGTATCACCAAAAAATTTGTGCACTTACAAATTTCTTTTTCATCATACATATGTGCATTTGGGTGGCCAAGAAAGTCTATAAAGGTTTATCTAAACGTTTTCCCGATATACAGTAAGTGTCGTATCGCATTAGTGTAGTGATGCTAAATCTAAGACTTACAAAGTTTCCTACACTCACTAGCATTAACGGACAAAAAAAATTTTTTTTTTTTAATTTTTCTCAGTTACTTAAATAGAAAATTAAATAAAAGTTATGTTTTTTATATACTTATAAGTTGGGTATTTTTTTTATTTGATGTTTTCTCGTGACAAATGTCATTTGATAGTAAATGCTTAGGAGTCCGGTTCTTCGCCTTCTAGCATTACAATATCCCATGATCAATAGTTTATGATGATATCAACTACGTACTTTAAAAAAATCGAAAAATCAAATCCCTATCCAAAGTGGAAGACCACCTATACTGTACCGACAGTTGGGAAGGCTTGAAAAAATTTGAGGACGTTGGTTGAAGTCCTTGTAAAATTCTAACACAGACCCGATGTTCTTGAGAATAATTGGAAGCAGTACTTGCCGTAACATAAGGTTTGTTATTATTATCTGTTAACAATCAAATGTTTTAATAAGTTATTGATAAATTGATCACTTTGGTGACTGATGTGTTTACACGTGTAATTGTAATGTTTATTTACTGCTAAATGTGAGATTTTTGTGACTACTGAAGTACCGAGATCAAAGTGAATTATTGCTTATTAAAAACATTTTTAATACACAATGGATTTAAAATATATCTATATCCATTGAGGTGAATATTATGATTATGTATAAATCTTTTTTGTCATTTCATATGCAATAACAAGTTTATCTTTAAAATACCATTGGAATATTTCTGAGACATCATCATTTTCTAAAGTTGAATCTTTGGTTGGTTCCTGTGCACATGTCTTCTTTTAATTCACAAATGTTGAAAGACATCACTGCTGATAAAAAGTTGTTTATTGGTAATTTACCTTTCATTTCATTTTCTAAAAATTTTTCAATAAATGTTGACTTTGGACTAGTTTTTATAAAAAGTTGGAATGCATTAATTGATTTCAGATCCTAGGCATCAAAGTCTTCAGAAATCCACTGCAATCAAATATAATCAACAGCTTCCTTAATTACCAGGAAATGATAAATCAAACTTTCACTAGAAATTATATACAATGTGATGCAAAAAAAATCAAAATTATATAAAACTTTACAAATAATTTTTTTGATATCTTAACAATAAGTTTGTTATAAGTCATATATATAAATATAAAAATAATATTTTTTTAATCTTTATTTTTAATACACAAATAGTTAAAAAAAAAATTAATTCTCGATTTTTTTATACATGTTTTATAATAAAAATAAACTGTTTGGAAAATAATTAAAAAAAATTTTAACTCTATTTAAATTTTATTATAAAAAATTTTTTTTAATTCTTAAATACTATAAATATCTTTATATAAAATTAATAATAATGATTTTTTAACAATTACAATAAAGAAAAAAATTTTTTGTTACTTTTTTTAAAAAAACATTAATTTTATATTTAAAATTAATTAAAATTAAAATTAACAAAACATTATATGATTTTTTTTATTTTTATCTTAAAAACAAATTTATAAAGTTTTATAATATTTAAATTAATTTATTAATAAAAATATAGGTCTAAAAAATTTTTCTTTTCTTTTGTAGAAAGAAGATAATTATTAAGTTTATGATGTATTACTAGATAAGCGTAAAGATCCAAAAGTTATGCTAGTCTAAGCTTGGCAATTGTGGCAATGAGTTGAGAATTTGATTCTTGTAATGAATTGATTTTAGATTGAGCGTTTTCTATTGATTTACTGTATATAGAAATCACATTTGCTGTATTCAAAACTTAGTGTGCATTCCAAAATGGAATGCCAATCACTTTTCCAGGAAAAAATTTTTGCCTTTAGGAGCGATAAAATGTTGGTATTTTTTGACTTATTTAATTAAATAAATCGAGGGAGAATGTGGGAAACCGTGTGAATTCCTTTTCGGAAACAAAAATTCATTGATAGTTTTGGTTTTACATTTTCGACCGCGAGATTTTCAAATGGTCTTATCAATATGATTATTTTTGCTCATTCTTTGTTAATTTGATTTACTCTGCAAAGTTTCCCGTGAGAAGTGGTATGGATATTCTTGACTTGGTCACAGAAAAGAAGAGTAGACTTTATCATAATAGACTTGTATGATCTACCAACAAATGGTTAAAATAGTCCCTAAAAACTTTTCCATCTACAATCCCAGAGCGTTTCGGAAGTTCGACATCGCAATTTCTGCAGACATAAAGAGGATGAAAAAAATCATTTTTTGATGCAGATTTTTTACGTTCTTCTTTGTATGCCATTCGACTGATCGGTTTTTGTCTCTGTTTGTATTGGTGAATTTCATTTGGACTCTCGGTACCCGGCTGATCTAATGAAAGGAAGGTATCTCAGGTGGCGAAGATGGAGTGTCAATAATACGATGTTTAAATCTCCGGACATTAATGGTATAATGATAGCAATCAAAATTCCATTCTCTTGCAGCGAAATTTTCAGATTTGTATTTTTTTGTTTCTAGCAATCTCAAGTTGCAGATTGTGATTTTTAAATTGGATGTCGCCATTCAACGTCCCCCGCACGAACCTCCGAGATCATTGTTAGTTCATCTTCTTCAATCACAGCTGACTTTACACAACGAAATGACGCGACAAATTTTTCAAAACTCTGCCATGACTCTGCTTGTAATGACAATACAGGATCAATAAGCGCCCTTTGTTTTCCATAATCAGAAAATTGCCAATCTCGAAGTATTGGATCTACTTGGTTATTAGAAACTTCCACAAATATCCAGAGCCAGACGTACGGTGCGGTGCGGTATCCCTGTGGAATATCCTTATTTATTTGTTCGAATCGAATCAATCCACTCCCGGAAAACTGGTCAGGTGTTTTGTTGGTTTTAGGAACATTTTTATGTAAATTTAAGGAACGCCGAGTCAATATTGCTCGTGCAACGGGCCTGGCGTCGTTCACGGAACCAAAAATAGCATCCCGATATCTTTCGGTAAGCTTAAGACGCAGATCGTTCATCAAAACATACTTCAATATTACGACCGGCCAAGCAATCATTCAGCGCTTCTATAACCCTTCCATGCCCTCCACAGTCTTCTACGAGAGTCTTAGTAATCTCATCATCTTTAAGATCAGAACCAACCTATGATCTTGGCGATAGCCTGGCGGTTCCAGAGAAACGACGGGCAGGAATACACGTGTACCCTCGACAGGGTCAGTTATTGTTGAAGTACAAAAGGGTATCACGAAAATGCCCTTAAATGCAATGTCTGCAATACTTGACAGTGTCTTGTAAAACCGAGAATCTGGCTTTAAACCATTAGCGTTTCGTTTTGTCAAAACACCCTGAAAGAAAATTTGTGTAATGATTTTTAAGCTTCCTTCGCAAAATGTGTTTCAAAGATGGATGAGGTTGATATTCCCAACTAGCACCAGAAATGTAAAGCAAAGGTTCTGGTTTCACATGTGGCAGCCCTAAAATACAAATACAGTAGTACTTCCGATCGGCCTCAACATAAGAACAACAGTTTTTTCGCTGAAATTGCTTAATACATACTGTACCTCCGAGAAAGCATCAATTATTTTTTTCATAATTTCTGTTAGGGAAGGGGTTTTTGAGGATAAGGAGCAGTAAATAAAAAAAGCAAAAAATTATAAAGATAAAAAAAATGATTAACAAAAAATTTAGCAAGGTCAAGATAACGTGAATGTGTTTTGGGGGTGGGCTTAACGATAAGAAGCAGGAAAGTTAGTCAACGTTGAAAACAGTATACTAAAATACAATAATTAATTATCAATAGGGATCTCAACGATTACATGGATGTAGTCGTCAAGAGGTTGTTCAGCGAATTCTTTTCGCAAACAGTTTGTCATGATCGTCCTGGATGTTTACCTTCCACAGCCTTGGGCAAAGTCAACTGTCTTCTCCGCCTTGATGACTTTCCTGAGCGCACTAATAGACTCATCCCTACCAATCTCAACTTCGAAGGCGTGCCGGGCGGCAGGAACCTTTCCCTTTTCTAAGCAGAACATGGTTATAGTTTCACTACATGACATAGTCACAACGGTTTCCGTTACCTAGTGCATAGAAATTTTATAAAAAATTTTTTTATTTTTTATTCTTAACATTGTATATATGGTATATATGCCTTAGATATTGTAAAGTGATAATTTTTTTATAAGAATGTTTCATAAATTTTATTTATACATATTATTTTTATATGTAATTATTAACATTTTTTTGTTTTTTTATTCTTTTTAAAATATTTTTCTCAAGGGAAGAGCTAAATACAAATGATATGGGTGACCGGATGGCCGTTATAGCGATCCACGAACCAAAAACTCGCTTGCGCATTAATAAGCTTTACTATCGATTTCCTGGAAAATTTTTTTACTTTTTTTCGATGTTCGAATTTGTCTGATTATATCGTCAAGGTAGGCTGTCAAGAAGAGTCACGTTAAAGATTCTCAAGAAATGGAAAGTTAACGTAAATCAAATCATGCATACCTTCTACATCACTGATCTCCATCTCCGAGTCACTTAAAATATCTGGTAATAATAACTCTAAGTTCAATTATTAGGAGATAACAAGACTGACTTAAGATTAATAAATACCTGAGTTGGATTGAGAAGAATCTGAATTTGAAAAAAGTGAGAATTTTGTATCGATATTATTTATTGAGGGAAAAAAAAAAAAACATATTACCACGGATAAAACTTTCATGCGAGATGTCAGTGTCCTCAATCTGATCATTGATTGGTTCAGGAAGATCAGGGATGTTTGAGAGATTAAGCACGCGACTTCTATAATAAGCCTCTGGATGATTCCTTACGAATGGAATAGGTGATTTACCTAATTCTTCTAGTCTTAATTTATCTGCTGCTTTGAACTCATGAAAATAATTTGTTTGTTTTTCTTGCGACACATCAAA